ATTTATTATTTCAATTATAATAAAACTTTGGTAAAAAATTGTTTACCATCTTGTATAGCCACCATTAGCTCTAATTATATCATTTATACGAGTTGGCATAGTATTAACCAAATTTTTACATACATCGGACCCCAATTCAACCTAAATCTTTTGAATTGCATCCTATAAATGATCCTATGTTCTAACAGGTATTTCAAGCCATCTCAAACAACAGTCCATTTCATTTCAAAGATGTTCTATTGGATTTAAGTCAGGGGACTGTGCTGGTCAATCAAGAACCTTAACTCTATTATCTTCAAACCATTGCTTTGTAAGATGTGCTGTATATTTAGGATCATTATCCTGTTGAAAAATAATATTTTTCTTATCCATTCCATGCCACTCAATGGTTCCTAATAGGTTTTCCTTTAAAATTTGACAATATAAATCACCATTCATATGTCCATAAATTCGGCATATGTTACCAATCCCATCAGATGTAAAACATCCCCACACCATAATATTACCCCATCCAAATTTGACCGTTGGTTTAACATGATAATCGCGTAATGGTTCATTTGGTTAATTTCAGCTTGGATGCATATACAGCTTCTAATACTTTACTTCTTTACATTCAGATGTGAAATGTTAGGCAAAAAAATTTCGCAACAAAAAACTCCGAAAGGGACATAGATATGTTCATCAAAAGATACATTTTTGCTTGTTTTGATGATATTCTAGATACACATTTGTATGTTTTATTATATCCCTAAGTACTTTTCATTATTCATAATACTGATTATTTCTCATATAAGTGGAAAAATGGTTTCTAGGTCATCTCGAGATTGACGAAGTGAAGCAACAGATGCCCCAGATAGAGTTGAAGGGTTTCACATAGATTGGATGTTCACGGTATAGTATCTTTATGAAGTTTTCATATTTTTTTTGTTTGATTACTAACAGATTCCTACATATAGAGACATGATCTTAGAAAAGATAAATCGTATGGCCGAGAATTCTCCCTATGTAAGTGTGCAGGCTCTAAAATAGATAACGACACCAAGAATTTTTCAGACATTCTTAAGGTTTTAAAAATACTCAGAAATATGCACAGAAGCCTAGTCAAAGCAATTGCTATCGAAAGTGGAAGAGCACTTTCAAAACAAGTTTTAAATGCTTGTAATAAATTAATTATGCCTGGTTTTGCATCATCGTGGTTCTACCTTCGTGCTGTCCTCATAATATATGTAGGAGGCGGATTCTATGCATCATTTGAATTGGGAAAGTTTGATATCCCTACTTCGTATGATGAACTTTGGAAGCTAACTAAATTGCACGAATTATGTTGCAAATTAAGGTTGGTAACATCTCATCCCAATTCAGACTTAAGATTTTACACTCACTTTCTTTATCTTATATGCAGAAATTGTTGCATTTTACTGTTTCTCGATTTAAACGTATTATGGAAAGAGCCGAGAAAGAAAAGTTCCTTTCTAGAAAAGTAACAATCATTGAGGCAAAGGAAACCCACACACCTAATAAACCAAAAAAAACGAAACAACCAAAGTCTGAAGTATGATGTATTGATTATTACATATGATGACTTGTTGAAAAACGTTTTATGGCATAAATTTCGACGGCAATTTATAAGTGTCATTATTGTGCATAGCTTATAATAATCTAATTTTAATAAAAGTATTTGTTTTAGCTTGCGGATGAATAATAAGCTGTAAACAAAACACACATGCAATCTATTCTATCAATAAAGTTAATTGACCCAGTATTATCTTTCAAAATCACAGAAAGCGAGAAGTAAAATACTATCTGTGTATTTGAGATAAATGCTTTATTTGCCTTTGTAGAGTGAGAGGTGTACCAAACAAAAAGAACGCACATGTACCTTATCCTCTTATTCTAATAAATATCTCTTGTCACGTTTATTACCTGCTAACAATGGGTGCTATCTGGTACTGATTCATATGCTCAACAGATTAAAAATAATATTTTTAAAGACTGTTCTGAGGATGATTATTTTCAGTTCATATGTTCTTCCTTTCATCATGACCACTGAAAGTGATAATCGCCATCAAACAAGTTATGGAAGAAAATCACATGACAACGTCATAGCTGATTCATAACGTCAGGGAAATAATCTACATTTGTAAATATAAAATGTCACAGCGTCTTCAGCTAATCGCAAAATTCTAAATAAAAATGAGTTTTTTAATCAATAAAATCGATAAAAATCATTAAAACACAGTATATTGCATATAATCATTACAGAACTTCGGCTAAATATGGTATATTCTGACCACTTTGTACATTTAAGTATAACTGATTCATATGTTAACTACGATTTTCAAGGATTCGTGGAAATGAGACTCCATCAGATTGGAAGGATCGAATTTGAGACACATTAACGGGATATAGAAAAAATCATCTTTTGACTGATTCTAATAAGAGATATCTTATTGCAATCAGCACATCTATTCCAAATTAGAAAATTGGTATAAGTATACATTCTTTATAGATAAGCATGACATACAAATTGCATTGGAAATAAATATTGTGATATAAGCTTTAAGATTACATGAGCTGAAAGATAATCCTCCACCTTACTATTTCACAAAGTAGGTAATATGAAATGTGATTCAAGTAGGATTTGATATATCAGACAAAAACAGCTAAAAGATGCGAAGCATAAGATGCAAAGTAATATAAACACTATGCCTACTTATAAATACTACACCTGTTTGATTAATAAGTTTTGGAATGAGCCACATTCATTAACTCCTCCTCTATTATCACCAAAGCTTTTGCTTTAATGCAATGTAATGTAAATGTACCTAAAATTAAAAATCTTTGAAGTAATTTATCTAATATTAGCAGGATTAGTTTAGGTAACTTTACTGAAATATATTTTGATTCTGTGTAAAAAAATACAAAAAAAGAAAATGGATTTAATATATTTTAATCAAATATTACTTTGCCAAAATATATTATTTATTCATGTATAATTCATTATTATTTGATTTATTTTTTACTTTATTTTACTAGAATACATATAAACATATAGTTACTGTAACCGGGTGATGATCTTGACAATTATAGATCTACAAATGTATAATGAAGTACACTATATAGAGCTCCTCTTTTGTAAAAGATAGCGCAACGCTACTCTTTGTGTATTTTTGTTAGCTGACGTAGGTAACCAATCCTGAAGGCCTATCGACGTAGGTAACCAATCCAGAAGATAGTATTTTAAGAGGCAACCAGGCCTATCACATGACATTACAGTTTTAGAGGCAATTGGCCTCTCGCATTAGTTTTTCTTTTCTCTTTTATTATTTTACTCATTAATAAACATATTATTTTACCAATATAACTTACTTGCAATCCGTTGAATCACTGCCTAATGCAACTGTATAAATACTTTTGATAACTAGTCTGACATAAAAACTTGTAAACCATTAAAAGAATTACTGCTCAATTAAAAAGAGTCAACCCTCTGACATCACGTCTAATAGTTGCAACCTGAAAAGATTGCACGTTAACATTACTTTTATAATTATTGTATTACTTCGTTTATAATTTTTAGATTGTAATAAATTAAAATTCAATGATCAAATAATTTGCAAATTTAATTAATGTATCATTTAAGTTTTCTTTTATAATATATTCAAATTCAAATTTCTTTTTATTTATAATTTTTAAAAAAATTCTTTCATAATCATAAATTTTATGAATAATCCTTTTGCACATATAACAAATAAAATCAAAAATATAAATTTTTCAAATTTTTTTTAACAAACTATACTCTAATTTTTTTTTAACAAAGCTACTATATTTTCTATTAGCCTTAAGTATACCTTTAACTTATTACAACATAGCATTAATTAGCTTTAAATAAAAATCAACATCAATTTAATTTTATACTAATTGTATCTTATTTCACAAATCTTTTATATTAGTAATATTATTAGAAAGCTATCACAAATAACAATTAATTTTGTTTCATAAGTGTTTAATGGGGTTTAAGTCTGGTGATTGTACTGGCTAATCTAAAATTTCAATATTATTATCATCAAACTACTTGTATATTTCTTTGCTGTATATTTTGTGTCATTATTCTATTAGAAAATAATATTATTTACATTCAAATTACATATATTAAGAATCTCTAAAAACTCATCTCTTAAAATTTCTCTATATAGCTCTTCATCTATTTTTTCATTAATTTTACAATATTTTCCAATACCAAATGAATTCATATAACTTCATATTATTACAAAATCTTCACTAAACTTTATAATTGGTTTAATATGTTATAGTTATAAAGGTAAATTTGAATTTTTTCAACACCACTCTCTCCTATCTGAGCTAAAAATTAAGAATTTATTTTTATTTGATCACACTGCTTTTCACTAATCTTTTATAGTCTAATTCTTATATTTTGAGCAATTTTTTTTAGGCTTTTCTATGTCTCTTTAGAAGCAATAATTTTTTAACTATAGCTACAAGACCTTATCTTTTTAATAAGTGTCAAATAGTATTTAGTAAAATAATAATATTTTCGTTAGAATTAAAAATTTTTGAATTTGAATAGTATTTGTATATTTACCTGACTTAATAAGCCTGATAATATTCTTATTATAATATTCTGTAAATATTCTTAGGTGACCTGATTTTGGAATAACATTAAAGCTATCTGTTTTTTTTTATTTATTTGATTTTTATTATAGAAGTATGACTTATATTTTTACAAGAAATAATTATATGATTTGATAAATCTTCTTAGATAAGGAAAAAATATATTTTTTTGGTAAAGTAGTATTGCCTTTATAATATATTTAAAAAAAAAAAAAAAGTGTATATATTGATCTACTAATTTAAATTTATTTATATATATAAGACGCATTGCATGATTATAACTTTATTATATTAATTTTGATTTACAAAAGTATTGTATCACAAAAAATTGTATATAAAAAAATTTTTTAAAAGCCACAAATTAAGTAATACTCAAATTTAAATATATTAAAAATCTGATTACAGACTTTAAATTAGATTAAAATTTTAATTATATAGTCACTTTTATTCAGATATTACAATCTAAAAATTATAAACAAAATGATACAATAATTATAAAAGTCATTGTATGATGTAATAAATGATACACTGCAAATCATTTATGTAAGTATAACTATATTTATATAATAAAATAATTTTCACATATAAGAAATTAATTTCTAAAAATATTTTGAGTTTTTTTCTTTCATAACATTTTTATAAGACAAAATAGCATTTATTGTATTTATTAATATGTATATTTACTTTAAAGTAACAGGATCATCAAGAGTTTTGTAGCAATTTTTGCTTCTTTAATCAAAGATCTTTAGGTATAGTCACTATTTTCTTTAGATATACTAGCTCTATTAACTTCATTTATTTTTGCTCGTCTTAAAACCTTCATTATAAAAAATTTTATTAACAAAATTCTTACTTTCACTTATATGAAATACTTCTATTCTAACCTTTATACTAGATAATTTTATATTAGATGTTACGTTAAAAATGAAACACTTTTACACTTTTAGACTTATCCCTTAGATTGTAGAGATTTGCAGGCAAATTTGCCTGCTTATTTACTACAAATTCCCTTCTGATTTACTTTTATGAAAAATTAAAATTTTTTAA